TCACTAGCCAGTATAGGAAAATGAGGAATTTGACATGAGAGTCAAAGTCTGACTTCGCAGACTTTGCAGTCAGCAGTCATTTGCAGTGGGTACTAGCTCAGTAAGTGTATTTACTACATGGATTTGCCATAGGCAGCAAAAGACACTGAAACTTTTCTTCTAAATTCACTTTCTGAGGGGGCTGGGGCTGGGGCTCAGTGGTAGAGAATTTGCCTAGCATGTGTGAGGCGCTGGGTTCGAGCCTCAGCACCACATAAAAACAAATAAATTAAGGTATTGTGTCTAACTAAAACTAAAAACAAAATTTAAAAAAATAAAATAAATCCACTTTCTGAGTATTGGGGTCAGATGGCCTTTTGATGTGTGTGATAGTAACTGCTTCAGGCACTTGTTTTGCTGCCTGTTTGCCATCTAAGTGCTTCTGGGTATTGACCTCAGATCCACCTGGCTGCAGCTCCAGCCCTGGGTCATCCTATGACACCTGATGAAGTGCTGAAAATTAATTGTGAGTTTGCTGTGGTTTCATTTTCATGGGTATATTCTCAGTGCCAACATTGTTAGGTGATAGTTTTTGATATTGAATAAGTCCAGGTAGGCCTGAAAGTGTGCTGTACATTCATACACAAGTATATATGAGTGAAATTCATATTGACAGCCAGTCAGTTGCAGGGTGGGGTTGTGTTCCTTCATTCTTTACTTGGATTAAAGTGGCATTTTATCCAACAAAAGTCGTGTTCCTGGCTGTTCAGCTATAGGTGCTACAAGCTCGTGAATATTTTTAAGAGATTTTAGCTTTTTCCACTTATATGGCCCGTTGTCAATTTCTGCTCAGGTTTCATGACATTATGGAATGGTTGCCACTAGCACTGCCCAATCTCCGTTCCCCGTCCTCAGAACACTAGTTGCCTGTTGTCGGTTGGCATGGAGTCCTAAGAATTGAAATGTGTGAAGTGTTGATAGAACCTCATGCCTTGGGCTGCTGTCCTCCCCTCCCCCACCCCATCACTGACAGACTTGTTCAATCTGCCATCTTGCCACTTTGCCTTCTTGGACTGCCTCCTTTGCCTCCAGTTTCAGAGCTCTTGTCCTACCTTCTCCCAGGTTTTAGCACTCACCAGTCCTGATCTTTCTATCATATCAGTTCCCATATCCTAGGTCTTTCCTTCCTGTCAGTCCTATAAGATCCTGTTCTCTTCCTTCCTGAAGAGCACCCCTGACTGGAAATCATATCTGCACTTAGCCTGTCCCTGTTACCTTCCTCTGAAGAACAGAGCATCATGCAAGATCTGCCCAGGATGATTCAATTCATGGTGAAGCTAGAATCTAGAGCATAATTGTCAGTCCTCCCACCTGTAAACAGAACTGGGCTTGCCTATTATTTTGCAAGTTCATGACTTAAAGCATTGCTATTTTTTCATCAAAGAACACTATTAGCAGAAGGAAACTAGTGATTAATATTAATATTGTTTGGCTCCTATAATTGATTTCCCTCAAAGTTGCTGAGGGATGGACTGAAATACGTCCATTTCCCATTTGTTAATTCCTTCATTTCTTTGTGTATACTCTACTCTGCTCCTTATCTTACCTGAAGGGCTCTGTGTGTCTCAGTTTAATCCAGCAAAAGTGAGGATTGGGTATGGTTTGCTTTACTGATACCATATTATATTCAAAATTGGTTAAAATATGGAAATTTTTTTCCATTTTTGGAAAGGGTCTGATTATCTCAATGTAGATTTCCAGTTGAAAAGTTGGCTGTCCTTTTTTTCTTAGAGTAGAATTGTTCAAATGAAATCATTAGGTTATCTCACCAAAATATTTTAATTTAATAATTATACAGCTATGCATACAGTTTATAGCTCTTATTATCATTTAATATTCATAACATTGTCCAAGAGATGTGAAGCTTATCAAAAGTTAGCAAAAATAAATTAGACCCAATAAGAATCCTTCATATTCCGTGATTCCACCTGATCAACTGTATTTCCTCATACAGAAACACAGGGTCTGCCCTACCTTAATAACAAAGATCATGCAGTGTTTGGGGTTTTTCTTGAGTAAAAGCAACAATCTTATTTGCATTTCTTTGAAGGAAAAAGCTGAAATGAGAACAGATGATTGGAAAAATGACTGACAGATGAGGAGAGACTCTAACCGCAGATTTCAGGATTTAATTTAGGATGTGTGGGTGCGACTTCTCAAATGAGAATTTGAAAAATGGAGATTTTTGTCTATTTTACTTGGGGTCTCTGTGCCCAGCTGTGTGCCCTGGTCAAGAATTTCTCCAGTGCATGCTCCCCGTGATGCCTAGAGGTGGTGGGGAAGAAGTGCGGAGGCTGGAGAAGGGTGTCCAGCATGGGGAGACCAAAGTAACAAGTTCTAGTACTCTGCAGAACAGAGGGAGGACTGTGGTTCACAATAGCCTGCCTGCTCCACATATGAACAGCTAGAAGAAGGGGCTTAGAGTCTCTACACACAAAGTAACAATGCAGAGGTGGGACCTTAACTTCCCTGATTGGATCAGTGCATGTGATAGACATGTATTTTGTTGTTTGTTTCTTTGGGTGTTGGGTATTGAGCCCAGCGGTACTATATCATGGAGCTACATTCCCAGTCCTTTATAGTTTTTATTTTGGAATGGCCTTGCTAAGTTGCAGAGGCTGGCCTCAAACTTGCCGTCTTCTGCCTCAGCCTCCCAAGTTACTGGGATTACAAGCAAGCATGTACTACTGTGCCTGGCTGTATATATGTATTGAAATATCACACTGTACCCTATTAATACATATTATTATGTGTCAATCAAAGACATTTTTTTAATGTTTAAAGAGATAGAAATGTTAACCACCCTGATTTGATTATTATACTCTCTGTATATGTATCAGATTTTTCACAGTGTACCTAGTAAATTTCTACAACTAAAATATTTTTAAAATGTATGAATCTGTGCATTCATTCACCTTTGGTTCTTTAGAGTCCCTCTAGTATGCCTTCTCTACCAGCCTGTCTGACTTTTTCTATCATCAGTGACACCTGAATAAATTTACTCTCCACTCCCCACCAGAAAAAAAAATTTAAAAACACTTATCATCACCATGTTTTAGTCATTTAGACCATTATCATCTTGCATGGCAGTTCCTTTATAACACAGTGGAAATATGGCTCAGTTGTTGGTTCTGAAACCAGAATTAAAATTTGCAGTAGCAGCATCTCTTTGTGATAAATAACATCTTTACAACTTGATCAGTTCCCAAAAACTTTATAAAGTTGACTTAAGTAATAAACAGTGTTTTTTTTATTTTAAGTATTATATTTTAATTATTATACTCCAAATACATTTGGAGATCACCTCATTTTATTAATCACTTATTTCAACTCATTCCTGATGCTTCCTTCCACTGTGCCAAAGAGAAGACTAGAGTCGGCATATGCACTTATATGCATTCAAGAAAAGTGTCCCAGGCTTTTTATTACTTCTCATTTCCACCTTGTTGGTTTTCAAGTTTCAATACTTTTTTTTTTCAAAGAAATAAGGATTTAAGGGCTGGGGAAGTAGCTCAGTGGCAGAGTACTTGCTTAGCAGGCATGAGGCCCTGGGTTCATCCTCAGCACCACAAAAATAAATAGACAAATAAGAATTAAAACTTGAGACAATTATCCTAGATAAAGAACCAAGTGTGAAATTTCAGTTACTCTGTTTTTACTAGTTTTTCTACCCTTGCAAATGTTTATGAAATATTTATAATAGCCGCTGTGAAAATTTTATTTTCTCTAATTTGTTAAAAAAAAGTGTAACTTTAGTACAATGATGTATTACATTTTTCATGAAAAATCATGAAGATATCTCTATATTTGAACCTAATGTCAATATAAATTTGTGAGGTCTTATTTTTCTATTAATACCTATATTTTGTAATGTATGTGATATGTTTTATATATGTTTGTCATAGATGCATTTGACTTCATTTATATATTCACAGAGATTTATAGAGAGGCATTAAAAAACAGGCATAGTCAGTTAGTTATATATAAAGGTTATTGAGGATGCAACGATATAAAAGATAGAAGAACCTAGTAATTGCCTTTAAGATCAGAGCACAAAGCATTAGTTTGGATTTTACAAGGCCAGCCAGCAACAAAAGAGCAGTAATTTATGAGCTCAGCGTAAAAGAATAGCATAATTGCATTAAAAATTAATGCTAATGAACACTAAAATGGGGAAGGTGGGTATGATGAAAGTTTGTATTCATCTTTCCTGGTTTGAATGATGGCTAGTGGCTTGATTAATGGCTTAATTTCTATCAATTAGCGGGGAAAAATCTCCTGCGAGACAAGGGTAAATTGAGCATTGAATTACATATCTTGCTTTTGTGTGCTAAGAAAAAAGAGCTGCGTATCTCTGATATTAGCCACAGTGACAAATGTGGTGTGCCCCGCAATGTCTGCATTAGCTCTCCTGACAGGCGAGTTGTGTGTGGTTATGGGGTGTTTGGAGATGGTTGGCAGACAGCATTCGCTGTGAGCTCCTTAGAAACACACAACTCTTCCATTTACAGAATTTTAATTAGAGTCAGTAAGAATTCTAGAATTAAAGTGGACAGCAAACAGCAACTGCAGATTCTGTGTTCAGACCTACTAATCTAGAATATCTCAAAGTATCTTCCTTTCTTTCCCTCTGTTAAAATAAGCAAACTTCCAGCCGCTCTAGTTTTGCTGGAATTGTTATTTCTTCCCACTCTGTTACAGTGGATTTCACTGCCTAGCTTTATTGTGTCTGAAACAAAATGTAAGGCAGTGGTCTATAGGGTTGTTCTGCATAGTGGTTGTTGGTTCAGCCCAATTCACAGATATTCTAGCTTTTGTAATTGCAGTTGCTACATAGCAAATAACCAACTACTTGGCTTTGAAAATACCCTACTTTGGTTGTTTGCTAGTTTTCTAGAAACTGTATTTTTTAAATTTATTTTTAAGGGTTTATATATATGTATATTTGGGGGGGGGTGCTGGGGATTGAACCAAGGTCCTTGTGTATTTGAGGCAAGCACTCTACCAACTGAGCTAAATCCCCAACCCTAGAATGTAATATATTTAAAATTTTTTTCAAACATGATTCTGAAAATATAGGTCTGTGATCTAGCTCAAGATAATGCAAGAGAACACAAGACTTCTCTCCACATGACACTTGCTCCGTTATGCTATGCTGAATGGAGAGGCATTAAAATGCAGATGCAAAACAGCACTAAGAACACTGCTATTTCTAGTAAATGAATGGGATGGGAGAATAATTTGTTGCTTGGAGAGAGTAAGCAGAGAATTTATTTGACTAGGAAATGATGACTGGATCACAATTCAGAGACTGGGTCCCAGTTCTGCCACCAGCCAGCCATATGGCCTTGGCCAAGTTGCTTAGCAGCCTCAGTTTCTCATCTTCATGGGGAGAACAATCGGTTCACCTCTTGCCCTTACGATAGAGAAACTAGGCAGTTCCCTGGAAATGCTTAGCAAGTGTCCAAGGGTAAGTCCCTCTTTATTTTTTTTAATATTTATTTTTTAGTTGTAGTTGGACACAATACCTTTATTTATTTATTTATTTTTATGTGGTGCTGCGGATCCAACCCAGGGCCTTGCGTGTGCTAGGTGAGCACTGTACCACTGAGCCCCAGCCCCAGCCCGGTAACTCCCTCTTTCTGCTCCTTTTATTGCTTCTTCTACCAGAACAGCTTACCTGGCTTTTTTTTAAACAACCATTTAAATGAAAAATTGGCCTCTGACCTTCCCCATTAGAAAGGCATTAAAAATAATGAACAAAATGAAAATTTCTGTGGACTGATTGAGCATGGTGGTACACACCTGTCATCCCAGCTGCTTTGGAGGCTGAAGCAGCCTCATACAGCTAGTGAGACCCTGCCTTAAAAAAAAAAAAAAAAAAAATGGCTAGGGGTGTAGCTCAATTGTAAAGCACCACTGGGTTCAATTCCCAGTACCAGAAAAAAGCAAATTTCTGTGGACCTGCCAACACTGGGCAGAAACACATTGGCTATGAATTGCGGTCTCTGTTACTGTGAGCAGTTTGTTGCAGACATCCATGAGGAAGTGGCAGAACCTCTCTCTCGGGCCACTGTCACCTATCGGCTGAACACCACTCTCCTCAGCCCATGGCATTTAGTGGAGTTGGGGGGCTTCATGTCTCAGTGGCCAAGAGGCCTGGAATGGGCCTTTCGTGTCTTCTCAGAGATGTGCATGGCCTGTCCCATGTCCTCCACTCCCTGTCCCCATGCTGACCATGTCATGGTACACAAGAGATGTGTGAGCCAAAGCTAGCCACTAGCCTGGCTACCAGCTTTACACCAACCTGTCCGAAAGTTGTATATTCACACTTCTTAGCTGGCTTCATAGTACTAAATAGCTATTGCTTGTTAAGTGCTTTTAATAGTTGGCCCTGCACTGAGCTCGAGTCTCACCTCAGAGTTTCACAGGGCAGCTGCAGAGGAGCCACAGTGTCAGGGAGCTCTTTCCTGGGCACCTTACCTTGTTAGTGTCCTTTAACTTTCATGTAGTTGACAAATGAATATGGGCTGCTTGCTAAGTCACAGCACCCTTGGCTAAATTCTGGAGGTTAAACCAGGAGGAAGTTACTGCCAGGGTGAGAGGCATACCAAGGCCACTGGTGTAGGGAAGAGGCAAGGAGGGCATCATCAGAAGCGGGCCTAGGGATGCTTCAGCAAGGCAGGGTGCTGGGTTACGAGTTTGCTTGGCCTGGATGCCTAGCTCACTTGCACTTATTGGAATGGGTGGCCAAAATTCTTTCAGTGGCACAGTCACCTCAGATTATTCCTGTCACTTAATCTGACATAGTAAACTATTCAAGGTGAGTTGGTCTTGGACCCATCCGAGGGGGCTATTAGGAGAGACGCCTGAGAGTCTCAGCATCTGTTATAACACAATAGCCCTGTAGCTGAGTTTCTGCATGACTAACAAGCTAGACCTGTTCCACCTAAGGAGTTTCCTAGTCTTTCAATTTATTTGTGGTATCTGTTCTAGAAATCGGTTCCCAGGGTATTGGTCCTGTGAATAACCTTAGAAGTTGGGATTGGATAGATATATAATGCACACTTTGTAGAACTTTCAAAAGAAATATTGAAAATGTTATTTTTTAAAAGGAAAGAAATAGTTGTGTTTTCTTACAATTTGTGTCCATGAGAAATTGTTCTGATAACTTTAGAATTCAGGTAAGATTTATGAGATATTTTGTTTGCATGTAAATGTTATTAAGTAGCATACAAGTCGCTTGTTACTGGCACTTTACACTTCTTGTAAAGCAATTGAAAATGCTTTACATTTCAAAGGATTTTTTTAAGTATATATGTTGTATGACCAAAAGGAATTTAATAGGTGTTTCCATTCTTGACAAAAATTTGAGTCAAGTTAATCTGAAAATAAGATAATCTTTTGTATTATTCATGTATTCGTAGCAATATTATTAGTATATAATTTTTTTTCCTGGAAGAGTATATCATAAGAAACTCAATAACTGGGGCCAACTGACCCAAATTCTCTAACATAAAATGCATTTTAACTTTGGGGAAATTCATAAAATATTAATATTTGAGAGGAGTCAGTTGAGTATGAGACCTTTGTGTTCAAGTTATCTTTCATTAAACTCCTGGACATTGCATCTTGTGCAGTAGCGCCATCTGCTTTCATGAACACAGAATTGCTATGAGAGGGGGCTGGTTTATGTTCACAGGCCGCCCATGCACTACAGATGAAAATGTCTTTTCAAATGAAAAGTTTACATTAGGCCACATCATCTTTACTTAGTAATTTTAAATTTGTACGCTAGTTGATAGTATTTTAAAACAAACCCTGTAAGTGTTATAACACGAAATTGATTGTCAAATATAACTTGAAGTAGCAGGAAAGCCTCGTCATTAGTGATATAACATCAATAGTAACTAATAAGACACTTGACTTTAATTTTTTATCACAAAAAAAACAAAATTATTTTTTATTCAGTGAGTTAGTATTGATTTTTTATTTTGGTCTCAAATGACAAGGCTTTCTGATTTTTTTTTTTTTATTGTGAAATGCGTATCTCTTCTGACATCTGACAAACAGCATACAAAAGTCCTTTTATTTACCAGTAATATGTTTGTAAAAAGTTGTTAAGTGCAAATGAATGTGTTTCCTCCCTTTTTACATGTCAACGTCGTAAACCAACCGGTAGTCTTGATTCGCCCCCAAACTTGGGTATGTGTCTTTATTTACTTCATGGCTGGGGCTTAAAAATACTTTTGTAGGCTGAGTGTGTGTGCAGAGCATCCTGGCATTGGTACAATACTTCTAAACAAACCTGTGTGTGTAACTTAAGAGACTGAACTTAAAACAACACAATGCATGTTATTGATGTGTGTTTTCTGCCTCCTACAGTGACGGGCCATACTCAGGACACACGATTGCAGACATTGATACGAGGACTTTGAGTACAAAGCAACCAATGTCTGTTGTTTTCAGACAACATATTGCTAAGCTGTTATAAGGCCAAAAATGTGAATCTCCCTTGAGTCTTTCAAATTCTAATTCAAACGTTACTCTTACCACCAGGAAGACAGTCCCCACACTGAGAGATAAAAGCTGTGCTGGCTTATTTCCACATGCAGTCAGGCAGACCCGCTTACTCTTCTCTGCCCTGTCACTTAGTCCTGAGGTGATTTTCAGAGAAGCCCAGAGATAATGCTGTGCTCTCTAATCTTTCCCCTTCTTCCCTCTGATTTCTGCACTACTGTTTTAATAAGCACACTGGCCATTTGGACAGCTTCTGTAGCAACACATTTATTAGGAGATGGTCGTATTTCCAAATTTAAAGCCATAAACACTACAAACTTTAGACATCAGTACAGTTTTGTGAGTTCACCTCTGACATTAAATACTAATGATGTTGCTTTGCACATCCAGATGGGAGCATGCTAGAGAAAAAATCCAAGATGTCCACATCTGAATTGATACATAGACATCATCCTGAGATCAGAAATAATGTCTTTTGGTTGGGAATCAGTGATGGGGAAGTAATCCTGCTGGCACAGCTAATCGGAACCTAGCCAAGCAAAGCTTTTTTTCACACTGACGAGGAAGTAGCATCAGATGGAATGGTGCCCTGTCTGTCATATCAACAGCACTACCCGTGTGGTAAATTTTAAAACCACCCACTGGTAAGGGAGTGTTGGCAGTGATCAGAGCCGGGCAGAGCCCTCGTCCCCATGCTCAGCATGTGCACAGGGAAGGCCCTGAGTGTGTGGAGCATTGGCCCTCTGGGCACTTTGCCCAGCTTGCAGTTGTGTAGACAACACTGTCTTTTAGTGGTGGTGCATTGGTTGCAGCAGCCACATCCCAGCATGCCATGCACAACTCCCCACCTGAGGAGAGACCAGACACAACTGCAAAGGAGCTGCCTAAATCATGATTTGTGATTGGACAGAAGTTAAGACAAAGACTTTTAAGAAAATATTAATTCTTATTGAACCTAGATTATCAAATTTATTATTTTTTATGTTGATCTCTATAGCAGCATTTAACCTTCTCAGCTTAGAGCTACTGAGATGTAAGTATTGCTTTGCAGCCTAAATCCCAAAATTGGTAGGTGATTTAGCCGTGCATACGATGGCTCCTATGTATTCGTATCAGCTCAGAGAGAGTGTTAGCAGTTTTTCTGCCCAGCTAACATGAACAAGAAGATTCAAAAATAGAAAATGATGTATGCACATGGCTGCTGATTAAGCACTGTGATAGCAAAAGACTTGAAATGACTCAGTTAATTGGGCATTAGTAGCAAAAACTACCATAAAAATACATTGCTACGCAGATGCAAAATACAATGATGACATCTCTAAGCTGCTAGAGAGTTATAGTGAAAAAAGTTATACATATAAGAGTGTGGTAAACAAATTTTGTATAGTAAGAAGAGAAAGTATACTTATATTTTCAGAAATAAACAATGGAAAGATAATTTTAAACTTAATAATAATGATTACCTATGGATTGGAGAGAGAGCTGGAGCCATGGAATATGAAAAGAAACCTAGATCTCTGCATGATGATATTTTAAGTTTGAACTAGGAGAGACCTAACCTGCCGCATGGCTGCTGGTTGCTCAGAGTCTCCGCAGCCGAAGGCGGCCTCCGAGGCGCCGGTGGTAGGAACAGTCGGCGTCCTGCCTTGCTTAGAGCTGCCCACCTATGCAGCTGCTTGTGCTCTGGTGAACAGCCGCTACTCCTGTCTGGTGGCCGCGCCGCACCGACGGCACATCGCCCTGTCGCCCCGCTACCTTAACCGGAAACGCACCGGTATCCGAGAGCAGCTGGATGGGGAGCTCCTGTGCTATTCCGAGAGTCTTTTAGGTGTCCCTATTGCATATGATAACATCAAAGTTGTGGGTGAACTGGGAGATATATATGATGATCAAGGACACATTCATCTTAACATTGAAGCTGATTTTGTTATTTTCAGCCCTGAACCTGGGCAAAAGCTTATGGGTACAGTTAATAAAGTGTCTTCTAGCCACATTGGCTGTTTGGTACATGGGTGTTTTAATGCTTCAATCCCTAAACCTGAACAGATGTCAGTTGAGCAGTGGCAAACCCTGGAGATAAACGTGGGTGATGAATTAGAATTTGAAGTATTTCGTTTAGACTCAGATGCTGCTGGAGTATTTTGCATTCGAGGAAAAATAAATATTGCCTGTTTGCAGTCCAAGCACCCTAATGTTTCTGAAGAAGTAACAGAAACTCTAACTGAAGAATCTGTTGAAAAAATTCCAAAGAAAAAGAAAAAGAAAGATCCAGAAATTTATGAAGTAAATGATGGTGTCACAGAGCCAGCAGATTTTACAGGTATCACTCCAAAGGAAGAGGAAGAGCTACAGGTTAGTAATGACATGAATGGCCTCTGTGAGGAAGAGCCAAAGAAAAAGAAGAAGAAGAAGAAGCACCAGGAAGATCAGGATCCTATTTTTCAGTGCAGTGACTCCAGTGGTTACCAAAGTGACCATAAAAAGAAAAAAAAAGAAAAGAAAACATAGTGAAGAGGCTGAACTTACACCAGTTCTGGAATGCTCACCTAAGAAGAAACAAAAAAGTAATTAGTGCATTTTAAATAGGATAGTTGATAAAGGAGTTTTGAAAAATGTTTATGTTGTGCTGGGTGTGGTGTTACACATTTGTAATCCCAACTACCCAGGAAGCTGAGAGGTCAGTCTGGGCAACTTAGTGAGACTTTGTCTCAAAAAGAGCTGGGGATGTAGCTCAGTGCTAGATAGTGCTCCTGGGTTTAATCCCCAGCACTATAAAATAAAAAGGCATATGGATACCAGTAATTTATAAAACAGGGAACACTTGATTAGGAATTGGAGGGTTTTTGTGCTAACTGGCTAATTTGGATAGGACCCATGTTATTAAATTGCCATTTTATTGTAGACAAAATAAAATGGTAAGAGCTACTCTCATTCTCAACGCTTGCATTCTTCCAGATGTTAACTTTCCACATAAAATTTTCTTTGCATGCTGAAGATTAGCAGACATACTCTATAGTACAATGTTATTGCTATCATTAAGGAACAAGTTTGGGATTTCCCCCTGCTCTGATAATAGGTGTCACCTTTAGTCATTTTATGCTGTTTTGCTTATTTTGTTTTCTTTAATCACAGCGGTTAGTGTTTCTGTTGTTTAACTTAAAAAAATTATTTGCCAAAGGAGCTTCTGAAATGTCTAGAACCCTTGAGTACCATGCCACTGTCGACTGGTACATAACAGTATTTACTATACTCTCCTTTGAGGTGTGTGTGTGTTTTAAATTCTGAAAATTGATGGAAAGTGCTCTTACCTTGTACTTGTTTATTTGTGCCTCACTTGTGTTGAAGGAAGAAAGTAGATGAAGATAGGATAAATACAATACTGACCAGTGGCAAATTTCTTGATTACTTTTTATTTGTTGAAGTAGGCCATAAGAATTGTTTTAAAGAGGAGATTAAGAAGATGTTGATGTTTTGTGACTTACTGGAAAACAGTAATGAAATGAGAACTGTTTGAGGCTGATAATCAGTATGTGTCTGTGCATTTATTTTACCAGTGCTGTAATGGAAAACAAGGTAAATAAATGTAGTTCCTTCCCTCATGGAATGTCATAGGAGAAACAGACGCACACAAACAGTATTAGTAAGGAAATACAGAACATTACTAATTGTGTCAAATGCTATGAAGCAAAAACTTGACCACTCCTATTACTTGTGTTAGTATCTGCAAACAGTCAAATGGTTCAGTTGACTCCTCCATGTCAGTCATTTTGTTGCCATTCTTCTAGTACCGGACATAGTGCTAGGCTCACAATTATCAATTTAATATCTGATAATGAGTAAATTCTGCTACTGAACTGTCTAATCTATAAGAATAAGATGGAGTTTGGCAAGTAACAGACAGCTCACAATATGTTGTCTACAAGTAGATGTGCCAGACAATGGAAAGGTGCAAGACAATGTTGAGATGCATTAGCCCTTGAAATGTGACTAATCCAAATTGAAATACATTGTCAGTATCAAATATATATCATCAAAATTGGGATATAAACTATATCTATTTTTATATTAGTAAAATTAAAATATTTTTGGTTTAATGGGTTAAATAAAATGTTAACTTCAAAAAAAAAAAAAAAAAGTTTGAACTAAACATTATTGTTTTTTTCAATTAAAAAACAAACATTAGGGGCTGGGGTTGTAGCTCAGCGGTAGAGCACTCACCTAGCACAGGGGAGGCCCTGGTTTCGATCCTCAGCACCACATAAAAAATAAGTAAATAAAATAAAGGCATTGTGTCCAACTACAACTAAAAAATACTTTTAAAAAAATCATTATCACCAAGCAAGACCTAAAAAATCAAAACAAATTAAACAAACGAACCTATATCAAATTTCTAGCATAATTGCGAGAATTGGGAGGGCTAAGGCAGAAGGATCACAAGTTCAAGGCCAGCCTCAGCAACTTAGCAAGGTCCTAAGCAACTTAATGAGACCCTGTCTCCAAATAAAAAAGAAAAAGGCTGGGGATGTAGCCCAGTGGTGAAGTGCCCTGGATTCAGTCCCTAGTATTTCCAAAGAAAATTATACCGTGTTAATAAATCTGTTGCCAGTATCAATGATTATCTTGTTATTTGAAACTAATACATATTCACAAGGAAAAACAAATGAGTACTTTCGATTGTGTTATTAAGACCTAAGATTTTTAGAGTAGCAGAAAAATATGTAAATTTAAAAGACTATGAATCCTCTGATCTTTGGTTGGTTGGCAGTATCAGCATGAACTCATATTTATTCTTCTGCTTTGAAAGTATATATCTTATCCCACCCCTAGGAAGACTCAGGAGCAATGGCGGTTCAGTAGCAGTGACACCCTCCATGCCAGGTCTGAATGTCATTCCCCATCAAAAGGAGTCCAGGCTCTTCAGAGCAATGGCTCATTTCAGGGCTGGGGCAAGAAATTAAGAGGATTCTGGGTTGTGTTGCCACACCTTGTAACTACCAGGGATCAGGCACCACTTGGAGCATTTCAAGCACCAACATGGGGAACTACTTACTGAGGACTGAAATATAGTGGGCCTATAAATATTCTGAATTCATAGTGGTTGTTTTTGATCATGTCCAGACCAAAATTGATTTTTAAAAAAGGGAAAGAATCAAGCCTTTCTTATGACTTTTATGACTTTTCTATATAGGCTGTATTTCAGGGCCACCAAATAGGATAAGCTCTTCATTACAGAAGAGTCAGAGCTGATAAAGGCAGGAACAATACTAGAATTAGAAAGCTACCATTTTACAGCCTCTAATGAAATAATTGATCTGAGAACCAAACATCGACATTACTGGAACCATTAAGTGAAATTTTGATGAATTTTATGGTGGAGGCTCAGGCTGGTCAATCTTTTTTTTTAATTTTATTTTTATTCTAATTTGCTATATATGACGACAGAATGTGTTACAATTCATATTACACATAGAGAGCACGTTTTTCATATCTCTGATTGTACACAAAGTATATTCACACCATTCATGTCTTCATACATGTACTTAGGGTAATTATGTCCATCTCATTCCACCATCTTTTTTACACCCCTTGCTCTCTCCCTTCCCCTCCCTCCCCTTTGCCCTATCTAGAATAACAAATAACCCAATCAATAAATGGGCAAAGGAACTAAGCAGACACTTCTCAGAAGTGATATACAATCAATCAACCAACAAATATATGAAAAAGTGTTCAACATCTCTAGCTATTAGAGAAATGCAAATCAGACTACTGTAAGATTTCATCTCACTTCAGTCAGAAAGGCAGCTATTAAGAATACAAACAACAATAAGTGTTGGTGAGGATGTGGGGGAAAAGGTACACTCATACATTGCTGGTAGGACTACAAAATGGTGCAGCCAATATGGAAAGCAGTATGGAGATTCCTTGGAAAACTTGGAATAGAACTACATTTGACCTGGCTATCCCACTCCTTAGTCTATACCCAAAGGACTTAAAAACAGCATACTACAGGGACACAGCCACATCAATGTTTATTGCCCCACAATTCACAACAGCTAAAGCGTGGAACCAACCTAGATGCCTTTCAGTAGATGAATGGATAAAGAAATTGTGGTATATATACACAATGGAATATTACTCAGCAACAAAAGAATAAAATCATGACATTTGCAGGTAAATGGATGGAGTTGGAGAATATAATTCTAAGTGAAGTTAGCCAAACTCAAAAAAACAAATGCCTAATGTTTTCTCTGATATAAGGAGTCTGATTCATAGTGGAGTAGGGAGGGGAAGCACTAGAAGATTAGACGAACTCTGGTCAATCTTAACATCACTAAGAGTGGGAGAAGCACCAGCTAGTGGGACATGTGGGGACTTAAGCTGTGGCTCCCACCGTATGTTTTTGACCAAAGGAAATTGAACCTGAATGCTTTCCATAATAGGTTAAATGATCCTTTGAGATAAAGTCAATCAGATCCACAATACAGGACATTGTGTGGAACAATCCGGTTCCTTGGACCAGTATATGGCTGTGAAAGAGAAGCATGGTACACTGTATATAGTAGAAAGGAACTGAAGGTGTGAGGGGCATACTCCTTGTTTGTACCCCAGTTCACATGAGCTGAGTGAAGACTCTGCTAGACAGTCATTCACATTTTGCATGGATGTGTTATAGTATGTCCAAATGTGAAAATGATACTACAGATAGGTTGTCAAAGTCCTTATCTGTTAGCAATACCAACCAAGGTACTTAAGGGTAACAGCATGACATGAGTCTCAAGAGAAAAAGTTCTTATTATAGCTTAACTATAATATAATGTCTTTTCATCCAGTTAATTTTTTTCTTTTCTTTCTGTTTATTTTGCTTGTTCATTTGTTTGCTCTTACTGGTGCATTATAGTTGTACATAAAAATTGGGTTCATTTTGACATAATTATGTATGTCCCTCCCCTCCTCTGTCCCCCCCTCCTCCTCCTCCTCTATTCTACTGATCTACCTTGCACTCATTAGTATGTTTTTTTCTCTTTTAATTTTTTTATTAGTTGCTCAAAACATTACAATGATCAGTATGTTTTTAATTGATGCTTTATAGCCATACATAAAGATGGAATTCACAGTGGTATATTTATACACGCACATAGCATATTTTTTTCTCTTTCCTGTCCCTTCACCCTCCATCTCCTCCTAATCCACTGATCTTCCTTCTATCTTTATGAACCCACCACCACCAACACCACTTTCTGTTTTTTTATTTTGATCTAGCTTCCACATATGAGAGAACATCTGACCCTTGATTTTCTCAAATGTTTTTTTTTTTTTTTCTTAGCATGATGTTCTCCAGTTCCATTCATTTACCAAAAAATGCCATAATTTCATCCTACTTTATGGCCGAATAGAACTCCATTGTGTATGTATACCTCATTTTCTTTATCCATTCATCCACTGACAGGCACCTGGGCTGGTTACATAACTTGGGTGTTGTGAATTGCACTACTATAAATATTGATATGCCCTTATCACTATAGTATGCTAATTTTAGTTCTTTTAGAGAAGTACGAAAGAGTGGGATATCTGGGTCATACAGTGGTTCCATTTCTAAGTTGTTTTTTTTTTTTTTTTTTTAGGAATTTCCATGTGCTTTCCAGAGTGGCTGTACTAGTCTGCAGTCCCACTAATAATGTATGAGTGTCCCTTCCCCCACATCCTTGTCAGCATTTATATTATGGCTGCCACAAATGACTAGAGTGAGATGAAATCTCAATGTAGTTTTGATATACATTTCCCTAACTGGTAAGAATGTTGAGGGCTGGGGTTATAGCTCAGTTGTAGAGCGCTTACCTTGTACATGTGAGGCTCTGGGTTTGATCCTCAGTACCACATAAAAATAAATAAAATAAATAAAGATATTGTGTCCATCTTAAAAAAAAAAAGAATGTTGAACATTTTTTCATGCATTTGTTGGCCATTTGTGTTTCTCCTTTTGAGAAGTGTCTGTTTACTTCTTTTGCCCATTTTATTATTGTGGGTATTTTGAGTGTGTGTGTGTGTTTTAAGTCTTCAAGTTTTATATATTCTGGTCATTGATCCCCTAACTGAAGAGTAGCTTGCAAAAATCTTCTCCCATTCTGTAGGCTCTCTCTTCAAAATTATTTATCATTTCCTTTACTGTGCAGAAGCTTTTAATTTGATACTGTCCCACTCAATTAAATTCTTGTTTTTATTTCTTAAGCATTAGGGGTCTTGCTAAGGAAATCAACACCTGTGCCACTATGTTGAATTGTTTAGCTCATGTTTTCTTCTAGCAGTTGCAGAATTTCTTCTCTAATTCCTAAATCTTTGGTAGACTTTCATTTGACTTTTGTGTGAGGTAAGAGATAGGGATCTAGTTTCATTTTTCTACATATGGATATCCAGGTTTCCCAGCATCATTTGTTTAAAAGGCTATATTTTCTCTAACATATATTTTTGGCACCTTTGTCAAGTACCAGGTGGCTATCTCTGTGTGTGTTTGCGACTTCTGTTCCACTAGTCTTCATGCCTGTTTTGGTGGCCAATACCATGCTGTTTTTGTAATTACAGCTCTGTAGTATAATTTGAGATC